CAGCCAGCTCATCCAGGCTCTTGTACGGCCTAATTTTTCTCTGTTTCTTTTCGTGGATACAAAGATTGGGTGAGCCGGAAGCTTCTACTGTCGCATGTACTGATTCTCGTTTGGCCCTCTCGGGCCGTTCTCGAACTCACAGGAAAGACTTTCCTTGCAGCACCCGGCACCAAAAGAAAATCCCCCTTCCTTCTGCCGGGGGAGGAGTTTCTATTGCACACTCTTTGGGGGAACCAAAAGCAAGACAGCAGTCTTCCGCCAGGGAAGGATTTCTCCGTTGCACAAGCACCAAAAACACCCCCCTCACCTTGAGAGGAAAAGACTTTCACCACACCAAGTTGGCACCTTTGCCGCAAATGGTGTGGGATTCCAGAACGTTCTTCCCCTTCGCTGCACAATGATGTATTATTTCCGTCCTCCCTGTCTCCACTCAATCTTTCCGTTACCATCAACTTTTTTTAAAAAAAGAAAAAAAAAATCAGGCATCAGGACGAAGGGTTTCCCTCTGCCCTCATCACTGTTTTAGAGGGATTTTTATTTTATTTTTTGCTGTGATACTCCAATAAAAACGTGCAAATTCCCAAGTCTAGCGAACACTGTGTAATCTCCATGGTCTAGCCTGTTTGCCTTGTTAATAAAGTAGGACTGAATATCCATCAAATCTTGTATTTAACAGTGGTGGGAGAAATAACGCTGCAGACAGAGGATACGAAGGCAACGTATTCCTTTGAATAAACATGACCAGGGATAGCCAACTACTTCCAGGACATAGAGAAGCAGAACACTTTGTTTCATAGCTGGAAGAGAGGAAGTTAAACTTCTGTGCATGGGCAAAGGCAGGATGTTTTTTTGGAGGGGAGAACCTCAAGTTATCCATGTATTTTTATTGATTTAGGGGGGACAGCTGCCCCCCCAGCTACACCCATGCCTCTGTGTCTTTTTTCCAGCCCAGTCCAAGCTGAGAGCCTATTCTGCTCCACTAACTGATGACATCCCAGCTGGGGAGGGAGGGCTGTCTACTCAGTTCAACCTTCTGGAAGCATCTTTAGTCAAGCAAAGAGATATTTAACAGACTTGGCTGCGGCTATTAACAACGAGGCTGGTACAGCCACTTTTAGCAGTGTTTCCCCTATAGGATCCCATATTGCGGATCTAAAACTAGGAACTTGGAGGGAATTCCAAAGATGACATCTAGAATGTGTGTGTGTGTGTGTGTGTGTGTGTGTGTGTGTGTGTGTGTATACACATGTGTACACACCCTTCTATAAGAATACCATTTATTAACCATATCAGTGATCAAATTGTTTGAAAATAGACTGTGGGAAATAAGCTGGGGCCTCAGCCCTGGGGAAGAAAAGGTACTGTATGTCATTGCTGGGATATAGTTCAACAGGCAAGTGGTCACAGGTGGATGATTGCAGACTGCCTCCCCATTAATCCCTTCTCTGCAAGCACACTTTGGAGATGAGTAAAATGATGGCTGTCCATGCTGATCCTCCTTTTGCTGCTGCCTAGGAAGGGATGCGGGTGGCGCTGTGGGTTAAACCACGGAGCCTAGGACTTGCCGATCAGAAGGTCGGCGGTTCGAATCCCCACGACAGGGTGAGCTCCCGTTGCTCAGTCCCTGCTCCTGCCAACCTAGTAGTTCGAAAGTGCAAGAAGATAAATAGGTACCGCTCCAGCGGGAAGATAAAGCGCGTTTCTGTGCGCTGTTCTGGTTCGCCAGAAGCGGCTTAGTCATGCTGGCCACATGATCTAGAAGCTGTACGCCGGCTCCCTCGGCCAATAAAGCAAGTTGAGCGCCGCAACCCCAGAGACGGCCACCACTGGACCTAACGGTCAGGGGTCCCTTTACCTTTAGGAAGAATTAATCCTCTGCTGGCTATATATTGTTATGACTTTGGGGGAGGGGGTAGGCTAAATGCCTGCCCCTTCTAATTCCTGGATGCAGCATGGATGCAAAGGCTGTAATAGCCAGTCAGCCTGGCAATGGCCCACAGCAGGAGTCCTTAAGGCAGAGTTTCCCAAACTGTGTGTTGTGACATGTTAGTGTGTCATGTGTCCATGCGCTCCTCCCGGGGCTGGAAAGGGGTTAGCTGAACCTCCGGTTTGCTAGTAAAAACTGATCTACTGTGTCACGAAATGATGCATGTCAAATAAGTGTGTCACCAACATGAAACGTTTGGAAAGCTCTGCCTGAAGGGAACTTGCCAGCCTCCCTCCCTGGATAGTTGGAAAGACAAAAGGTCAGAGTTGAGTGATGTGAACCAGAAGCTGGAATAAAAAGCTGCGGGCTAGAAAGACAGAGAGAACACCAATACTTTTATTTTTTTGTTTGGATCCAAGACTGCAGCTATGATAGAAACAAGACCTTTTTTGGGTGTTAATGCTGTGAACCCCTCCATCATAGGCTCAGGTTATATAAGTGTGCGTAAACAAACCAAAGACAGCACAGTGTCAGCTGTGCCTCATCCCCAAAACATGAACCCTGGCCCAGAACTCCTGGAATCTTGCACCGCTCGGAGATTGGGGCGGCGTGCAACAGTAATAATAATAATAAGAAGAAGAAATTTTATTTAGCCGGGCTCAGGGCGGCTAACAACAACCAAATAATCAAACAATCAAATAATCACATTCTAAAAATATTTCATTATAAAAATTAATTAAAATCAAATTGATGGCAACCAATTAAGCAAAAGTCTGTGCAGGTTGCCAGAGGAGGGAGTCAGGCTGCGCCCTGACCAAAGGCCTGGCGGAACAACTCTGTCTTGCAGGCCCTGTGGAAAGATGTCAGGTCCTGCAGGGCCCTAGTTTCTTGTGACAGAGCATTCCACCAGATTGGAGCCGCAGCCGAGAAGGCCCTGGCTCTAGTTGAGGCCAGCCTAACCTCTCTGAGGCCTGGGACCTTGAGGATGTTATTATTTGCAGACCGTAGGTTTCTCTGTGGGGCATACCAGGAGAGGCGGTCCCGTAGGTACGAGGGTCCTAGGCCGTATAGGGCTTTAAAGGTTAAGACCAGCACCTTAAACCTGATCCTGTACTCCACCGGGAGCCAGTGCAGCTGGTATAGTACCGGATGAATGTGATCTCGCAGCGAAGACCCCATAAGGAGTCTCGCCGCGGCATTCTGCACCTGCTGGAGTTTCTGGGTCAGTCTCAAGGGCAGCCCCACGTAGAGCGAGTTACAATAATCCAGTCTGGAGGTGACCGTCGCATGGATCACAGTGGCTAGGTCAGGGCGAGAGAGATAAGGGGCCAACTGCTTAGCTTGGCGGAGATGGAAAAATGCCGCCTTTGTTATAGCTGTAATCTGCGCCTCCATAGAGAGGGAGGTATCGAAGATTACACCCAAACTCTTAACGGATGGTGCTGGCACTAATTCCCCCCCCTCAAGAGATGGGAGTTGCCCCCTCGATCCCATATCGTCCCGCCCCAGCCAGAGGACCTCTGTCTTCGAAGGATTTAACTTCAACTGGCTCCCACGTAACCATCCAGCCACAGCTTCCAGACATCTGGTCAGTGTGTCTGGGGCCGAGTCAGGATGGCCATCCATCAACAGATAGAGTTGGGTGTCATCAGCATACTGATGGCAACCCAGCCCAAAACTCCGGACAAGCTGGGCGAGGGGGCACATAAAGATGTTAAAAAGCATCGGGGAGAGAATCGCACCCTGAGGCACTCCACACACCAAGGAGTGGTGCGATGACAATTCCCCCCAAGCACCCAAGTATCTTCCCGTTGCTGCTTATTCAACCTGGGAGGTGAGCTCTTTATCACCATGCCGACTCCAATGTTACTGCTGCTGATATCTGTGTGGAGCTGGCCTCAAGAAACTTGGCTTGCAAGTCCCATCCGTGCAGCGGTAGCTATGTCCAAAGTAAACATTTTGCAGGTCCTCAAATTTGGGAGAAGGGTTGGTTCCGGACAATGCGAGAAGGGGTGGCTACTCCAATTTTAAAGGTGTGGCTTGTATTCGGGCCAATATGGTACATTCACAGAGAAACATTAGCTCTACTCTATCCCTGCTCGGTCCCTGCTCCTGCCAACCTAGCAGTTCGAAAGCACATCAAAGTGCAAGTAAATAAATAGGTACTGCTCTGGCAGGAAGGTAAACAGCATTTCTGTGTGCTGCTCTGGTTCGCCAGAAGCAGCTTAGTCATGCTGGCCACATGACCTGGAAGTTGTACGCCGGCTCCCAAGGCCAGTAAAGCAAGATGAGCACCGCAACCCCAGAGTTGTCTGCGACTGGACCTAATGGTCATGAGTCCCTTTACCGTTACAGTGCTACTGGACATTTTTTTATTTATTTTAATCACACAAGAGTTACTGGGGAGCATTCTAGAATTAAACACACAAGGTAAAGCATTTAGGCATTCCCAATTTTGGTAAATTAAATCATTAAATGGGTCTCCTCTGGAGCAGGGAAGCATCCAGATGAATCCCAAATCTCCTACTTGCCTACTTCAATCTATCCACCCACCCACTATCCCAAGCACTGAGCGATGGAGGAGATGGGGGAGAAAACACCCCTTGAGTGCGTCCAGAGTTCGGCATAGCTCAGAAATCCAATTCAGCAGCTTATCCCAAACGATAATTTAATATGCAGAGCAAAATGGAAAGAAAACCCTATATCAGAACATTGGTCTAATTGTCCATGCACAAGTTAACACAGCAAAAAGCAGTTGCCACCTCTGGTGCTGTTGGCTTCGAGCAGCAGTTGTAGTTTGAGTGGGGTCAAGAGAGACAAAGAAGTTTGGGAACGGTGGCATTTTAAGCACCGGTGATCCAAGTGGTGATCCAAGTGGGTTTGATTGACAGGTGGCCATTGTTTATTTGGAGATCCAAATATCGTGCCAAATCCTGGCCAATGCATTAACCTTCATTCAAGGTTCTAATTTGCTCAGAAGGAACCAAGTGGAACCAGTAAGACCACAGAAATGGATTGTGACTGAAACAAATCACTCAGTTTATTGGTCTACAAGTTCACTGGTATTATGAAAGATTGTGGAATTTGCAGATAGAAAATAAAACAAGATATAGCAACTGACAGAAGATGAAATTTAAAGCAACTTAAAACAATTGGATATAATGTGTATAAACAACGGTATGAACTAATAAGTAACAATGACAAAGCAATCAGTCAGAGGCAATAGCACAATCTCCTCCCAGCTCCTCCCAGCCCATCTAGTCATAGAAACAGTTAAATGTGTTGCTTTTTTTTCTACCTTCAGTTTCGTTTCTTCTGTTCTCTAGAGGTGGGGTCGTTTACAGGAAAAGCGAAAGCGCAAAGCATAGAAACTTAACTCGCAGGGAACGAACGTAGGCTCTGCGCTTTACATCTCACGTAAGTATATGCATTTAATTTTGATGATTTAGGTTGTCAGCTATAATTTTTACTGACCATATTCCTTAACCTCTGCTTGCAATAAACAGAAAAACATAGGTGGATTTTGTGTATGCTTGTGTGAAAGCAGATTAGCCGTCTTTCACGGCTAATAATTCAGAGGTACAAAGTCAGCTCTCAGATAAAAGCCAATTCGAAAGCTAAAACAAGTAGCAATTGCAAAAAAAAAAAAAAAAAAAGTTACCGGTAGCATTAAAAAGTCTGATAAACAAGAAGCCTTGCTCCTCGAGATGCAAGAAAATCAATGAAATTTTGGAGGAAGGAAGGGGGTGTAAATTTGACAAACATATATCAGTGCAATCCTAAATTAGCACAACAAACTTGAGAACACGAATATTTAATGTTCATCAGAGCATTGTGTTTTGGTGCTCCCAAGTTTTTGTACAACAGTTATGTGTAAATAATAATAATATAATTTATTATTTATACCCCGCCCATCTGGCTGGGTTTTCCCAGTCACTCTGGGCAGCTTTCAACAGAATATTAAAATACAATAGTCTATTAAATATTAAAAGCTTCCCTAAGCATATACATTTTCAGTAGCTTTTTATTGTCAACCCCCCTTGCCAAATTACGGTTGGATTCATTTTTGCACAGTAGTTGGGCTTCCTTTGAAGTTTGAACATTTTTATTGAAAACTTTAGATTTTCTGCTCCTTTAAAAGCAATCTTAAAGCTGTAGATAAGCTTTATATTTGGAATTGTTTTTAAAATAATTTATTATATTTCAGGATTGGCATATTATTTTGAATATATTATAAACAATGGCGATGCCCCCCCCCCCCGCTCCCCAAAAAGCTTGCACACAATCTCTAAGCCTTGAATAACTGCCTAACAGGCAGATACCAACACATGCAGCTTCTCAATGCTGTGCTGGAAGAGCAGAACCTGTTGAATTTCCACCCATGACTTAGCTTCTAAAGGCACAGAACCCCCACCAGAAAGGAAGGTGGTAATGTTAATCTAATCGTGCTATTTGTAGCCTTTGTTGCAGCTAATCTATACTGCTAGACAGTAACAACAGGCAAACCACTCATTTGTGAGGATATCCACTTAATCTATTGAAAGTGAATGCTCACTCAGTCAGATTTCTTATATCCTGCTAGTGGCAGGCCCCATCTTGAATAAATAAATGCTCAGGATGGGGAAATAGTTCAATTAGCATTTCCTGGATCAGAAGAAGAAGAAAAGTCTTTATTTCCCTCAGCCACTAGCCATAGCAATGAAATAAAATGTACTGAAGATAGAGGTTTAAACGTTAACTATAGAAAATACATTTTGGAGGTTTACATCAGTAATAATAATAATAATAATAATTTTTATTTATACCCCGCCCTCCCCAGCCAAGGCTGGGCTCAGGGCGGCTAACAAGCAATAATAATAGCAAGTTGAATGAATACAACTTAAAAACAAGATTAAAATATAACAATTAAAATATTGAAACATTAAAATATTAAAATGCAGCCTCATCACAGGAGGAGAAAGAAAAAAGAAAGAGGGGGGGGAATCAAATTGGCTCCAAGCCAAAGGCCAGGCGGAACAACTCTGTCTTACAGGCCCTACGGAAAGAAATCAGATCCTGCAGGGCCCTGGTCTTAATGAGGCAGAGCGTTTCACCAGGCCGGAGCCAGTGTTGAAAAGGCCCTGGCTCTGGTTGAAGCTAATCTAACTTCCTTAGGGCCCAGGACCTCTAGGATGTTGCTATTTATGGACCTTGAGGCTCTCCGTGGGGCATACCGGGAGAGGCGGTCCCGTAGGTACGAGGGTCCTAGGCCATGAAGGGCTTTAAAGGTCAAAACCAGCATCTTAAATCTGACCCTGTACTCCACCAGAAGCCAGTGCAGCTGGAAAAGCACTGGGTGAATATGCTCCCATGGCAGAGATCCCGTGAGGAGCCTCTCTGCAGCATTTTGCACCCGCTGGAGTTTCTGGGACAGCTTCAAGGGCAGCCCCACATAGAGCGAATTACAGTAGTCAAGCCTGGAGGTGACCATCGCATGGATCACTGTAATCTAATAATAGAGCTTATTCTAATTGCCCCCGCTAAAAACCTTGCAGTTTTCGCTGTCACCTGATCATCTTGATCTGCTCAAGGAAGGACACAGTAGCAATGGTTGAGTGGCCCAGCATAGACAATAATAGAGGGGTAATAATAACCTCAAATCTTTATAAAGAGTGCAGGCCAGAAGCACATGAGTCACTGACTCAATACTGCCATCTCCACAGGCACATAACCATTTTTCCAGTGGAATTGTTTGAAATCGACCCTCTGGTACAGCCGAAGGCAGCGTATTCAGTCTTGCGAAAGTGAAAGCACGTCTGTATTTTGGAATTGTTACATTTTTCAACTAGGGTGTCAAAATGACTAGGTGGAAAATAATCATACCATGGACAAAAATTGTGGCCAGATTATTCTGTCGCTCGATATCATACAGGTGCTTTCTCTGTTGAATTACAGGTTTGGTGTCGGACATTTGCTGGATCAATTACTCCAAATCCTTAGAGAGCCTTCTTGAAATGCTGTTTATACAAAGACAGTGTGTGTTCATTCTTCAACAATTTTAGGGCTACCGGTTTGGAAGCCATGGCATTTTCCGGTAGGAACCCATCTGAAATTATATGGAGGGCCAGAAGGAAATTAGCAGAAGATCTTCTTTTAATAGACTCAGAGCTGATCTTGGATGTGGCAGATTCCCACCTGCTCCTCACACAGGGGGAGTTTTTCTCCCTGAGTGAAATAAAGGATCCACAAGCATTTGTGGAATGCCTGATCGAGTTAGTGCTGGGAAAAAGAGAATCAACTCAGGAACTGTTCTTGGACTGCCTGGAAAACCTGAGGCAAGCCTTCCCAAGCCTTCAGCCTATTTCTGAATATGTAGAAGATGGTGAGTAACACTTTTTAAAACCTGGAGGTGCTTTCTGTTTTTCCTAAGGGTTACATTCTCACCTGCAGCAGCACCAAATTCTCTATGTCTTGAAGTCCAAAGCTGTTAGTGCTGCTTTTGTGAACTTTCGTTTACATGATTATAAGTTTGGGGGACCTCCCTCACACCATAGAAATTAATAAATGGTAGGATTTTGATTATTTGGGATGTGAAGGGAGAAATACAAGTTGCAGAGGAATTCCTGAACTAATTTATGCAAAACGACCTGGCCAAGCTAGAGCCATTAAGAAACAATCAATACAGGGGGATTGAGGGCCTTTGGCAATGCAAGAAAATTGTCCTTCCTCTCATCCCAGGTCAGGGATTTGGAAGGTTGCCAGGATAACTGTGTGTGGTTTGGCTTGGTTTTCAAGCTCAGTTATGGCAATGAGTTTCTCTGCCAGCTGACCTGTGCTGGGAAAAAGGTAAGGGGAAGGCAAGCCTGATAGTTCTCCAAGATCTCTCAGATGCTTTTGATTTTGCTTCAACACAGGGTGGATTTGATTTAAATCAAATCGATTTAAATTACTAGTCAGTAAGACTTGATTTAAATCTTCTTTTTTTCCAGAAAGACTCATTCTTGCTAGTATAATCTTAATATTTACAACCAGATGAAGGTTTCATTTTTGGAATAATAAATTTTCAGAGTAGTCTTTACAGTTATATCAAAAATTACTGATTTGGTTATACTATTAGAAATACATGGACAGATAATTACAAAATTATTTTGAGGTTTAATAAGTTAGCTGTTTATATTTGGATAACTTTTCTGCTGTACGTTACTGGAAGGAGAAAACTAATCATTTCCTTAGTAACAATTTTTAAAAATTATTTAACGAAAACAATAACATTATAGCATATGTATCCATGTTTGTTAACTGATGTGGTTAAACAACTTTTTTAAAAAACAACTTAGACAGAGTTTTAGCACGCATGAAAAACTTAAAACAAATCCTTATTTCCTGATTCTTTGGACTATAATGCAACTTAAGCAGGAAACTATCTTTAGAAAGATTTTTCCCCCAAAAGCATTTTATTTTAAAAATGAAATTTAAATTAAAAAATCTGATTTTTTTAAAAAAATATTTTTTTAAAAAGCATTGGTTTTTATCTACACTGCTTCAACAGGAGTCATTGGGCATCACTTTCAGTTAATTGTAAAAGGAAGGAAATTGAATTTGTAATGACGAAGTATTGAGCCCCCCCAAATCTGACCTTTTCGTTTAGTTATTTATTTATTTTTCAATAAATTTTATTAGTATTTTCCACACAACAACTACAACACGAAAAATAACAATACACAACACACAAAAACCGACATTCGAAAAACTAAAAGTTATTTGTTTGGTTTTTTTTAATCTGATTCTTTCAGATCACTTGAATCTCAGGAATGACCTTCAGGTCTCAGACTCTGTTGAATTCTCAGGGGAAAGAAGTGGATCCAAGAGCATGGATCTGGCTAGATCTGAAAACCAGGATGCTTCCCAGTCCCAAGAGGGCGTAGGAGAGGTTGAGACTATAGGTTTTCCTGTATCCTCAGAGGCAGGAAGTGGATCTCAGAGCCCAGATGATGCTGTTATGCTTCCAGGAAATGCAAGCAGCACTGAGGACCCAGATGCCAGTCTCCTGCTCTCCAGCAAAGAAAGAGAAGTCAAGACTCCAGATGCCCCGGATGTAGCTGAGAACCCCAGTGCTGCTGCCATGTCCACAGAGAATCGAGATAGAGATGAGGATCTAGAGAGCTCTTCATCTCCATGGATAGGAAGTGGGGCTGAGAGCCCAAGTGCCACTCTGTCTTCCAGCAAAGGAAGTGGAGCCAGCGATGGGAACTGTGGCAAATCTGAAGGGACAGGAAGTGGAGTAGAAATTCCTGGCATCTCTGCATCAAAGAGAGAAGAAGAGGGAGCCCAACAACTGGATTGCTCCAAGAGAAAAAGGACAAGCAGTTCTCCCACGAGAAGGGAGAGTTCTGAGAACTCAAAAGGAGGTTTGTATCCACAATAAAGGGAACTCTAGATGAGATGAGTTGTTGCTCAGTAGGCCAAAGCCCCAGTTGTAATTAATTGAAGACTTGCTATAGCAAAAGTGAATTTTTAAGAAAGTCACTTAAAACAACTGGATATCTAAATCTGACTCCAGTGCAGCATATATTTTGTGTGCAGCTTTTGTTTCCTTGCTGTAAACCACTTTAGTAGTGGTGTTTTGGGTACAGAAATCTGGGGAGTAACAAATATATACTTCTTAGCCAAATATATACTACTTAGAAGCAGAATTATTATATATACAGGGATGTTTAATCTGCAACACGTCTACTGGCTGCAGAATCTTGGCTCTTGATGCAAAAACCTGGTATTAATTTTCTTTTTTCCTTGACATTACTCAGGTATAGATAAACCATATTTTGGCTCATAAGCCTTGTGCAGATGACAGTGAAGACCCTGATTTCTGTGCGTTCATTAAAAAAAAATATGTATGCATAGTGCCAATTCTCATTTTCCAGTTTTTATCTAGGCACTTAACAGCTTGTAAGTGCATGAATATAAGGTTGGGGCCAGGGTCCGTGGGCCTGATTCTGACTCCCTCTACACATTCATCTTATGCAGAGATCTAATTGTACAGGGTTACTGAAGATGTTTGTTGGTGCTTTCTTGATTTCTTGGCACAGCCTTCTTCCAAACCTCAGAGGATCTAGCCAGTATGCAGCTTATGAAATCAACATCTGAATTAACCCCAGCTGAAAAGAAATCCTATTCCCAGAAGACAAAAGGGAGTCTGATGGAGGATGTTCCTAATGAAACAACCATCAAAGGGTAATGTCTATACTTAAATTATCATCAAGATTTTGATTTGTAAAAACAACATTATTGGGTGATTTATGGGTCCTCTAGAGAACTGCTGTTATCTTCCCTCTTTTTTTGGTTCTGTCTCCATTAAGGTTGTAAATTTATTAGAAAAAATAATAATCACAAGGGCATTAAACAGCCACTTGATCTGCAGAAACAGGCACTGTCAAACCTTTCTGGCATTGAGGGCAAGCTGGACTACTGGCTTGGTTTGTTTGTTTTTTTGCAAATTAGTCTGCTAATAAAGGGCTAGGAACAGGGCTGATTTAAAAAGTTGGCACTTTATTTTAGAATTCTGTTCTCTAGGGCTGAATTATTCAATCACTTCAGTGTTGCTCTTGAAAGATCTTACTCCTACATATGAGTACCTGAACTTGGAGGCTCCTCTGTGTGTGTCACCAGCATCCTCTCCCAATTGGGGTGATGACTTTGCCCGTCTCTCCATCCTGCCTGTTATTTTTCTGGTCTGAAAAGATTCAGGGTCCTCTTAAGGTGGCGCTTGGTTAAGGGGAAGTGACTAAGCAGAGACTTGGTGTGGGATCCACTTTGAAATCAGTCTCAAGAGTAATCAAGAGTCTCTTGTTTTCTCCCCTTGAGGCTAAACGTGTACTGAATTTCTCTTACTTGCTTAGAAGGTGCAAATAAAATAGGAGGCTAGCAAAATCCAAGAAAAGAATGTCTTCCTTAATGTATCGGGGAGGGAGACAGAAGGAAGCAACTCATTCCAAAGTGAATTTAGGATGGGGGCGGGGAAGCTAGGCTCACAACCACCCTGTAAAGTAGGTTAGGCTGATGGGTTCATAGTTCAGTTGCTCTTTAACCTCAGGTAGTCATTCTTCCCCTAAAGAAGTTAACTGTAGCTGTGTACATAGCAAACTTTCTCAATATATGACTAGATTTGGACCAGAGATCTTAGGATTTCTCCTATATCAGGGGTTCCCAAACTCTGGTCTGTGGATCGATTAGCAGTGGTTCACAACCTTCATTTATATGGTCCATGGCATGTCCACAGGAAATATTCATATTGATTTATAATAATGTTTTATTTATGTTTATGTTTTTTTGTAAACTGTTGTGATATTGTTGGCATTCATCTGCCTCAAAAGACAATGGAGTGCACCTCTGGGGGTGAAGCCCAACTGTGTGTTAGCAGAACCAAAGTGACCTCCCCAGGGAATTACGTTACATCAGTATATAAATATATTTATTTTTTATTGGATTTATATACCGCCCTTCCTCATAACATCCCAGGGCGGTTCACAGAATATAGGATAAAACCAAGTAAACAAGTAAAACGAAACAGCAAAACAATAACACTCCCCTTCCTACAGACACATTTAAAAGACTGTAGAATATTAATCAGCCAAAGGCCTGGTTAATATAAGTATTTTAATAAATAAAAGAGACAGTGTGGCATACAGGTCAAATAAAGGAAATAAAAGAAACAATAAAATTTTGGGTTCATTTTATTTTCACTGGGTTAGAGGGTGGGGAGTTAAAAAACATTTTGACTCCTGCTAATGTTGGGAGAAAATGCCTGCCCGCTGCAGTGAGGTAAGCCGGGACTCAAGGCAGAAAGGAACGCCTTTGGCGCCATCTTTTCCTGTGTCAGTCTTCATTTCTTAGTACAGAAAGTATTGATCTGATGTGTAGAGATCTTTCCTATTCTGATTAGTTCAGGAATGTTCTAGAAGGTTTATTTCTATGTGAGAGAAACAGGAAGGTTTCTGATGTTTTGGTTATTTCTGCTGGGAACTGTGTACAGCTGGTTTAAATTCATTCTGCTGTTTCTGTCAAGGTTGAGCTGACTATAATAGTGAGGCCAGGAGGAGCCTGGCTCTCACTCTTATTTTCTCTTTCTTTGGTCTCATATTCTGTTCTGTATGCTTAGTGTTAAGCTTAAGTCTTATTATAAGTTTCTAAATTTTATATCAAGTGCTGCTGTGACAGGTGTGTCGTCACTTTTTCCCCTCACACCACTGGGCCCACTCTCACTCAGATGAATTGCCCCCACCTCACTGAACAACCCTTTACCCAAAGGTTTTTTTCCCCCCTTCCCTCACAAAATTCTAGCCCAGAGTATCCTGTGGAGGATCTTTGTGAGGGGGTAACTAGTAAGTTGGAGTCTCAGACAGGTTTTCTTTAAATAAACAATAAAAGATTTATTTAAGGCAAGATAGTATATAACACAAATGGATTAAACTTCGGTTACTTCAAGAATACAGTGCGATTTCACTTTAATTCATCCTCGGTTGTTTTTGTTTTATAGGTTCGGTTCCTTTATACGGTGATACTTTCTTTCAGTTATCCACCCCCTTTAACACTCCTACTCCTGAGGTACTTTAAGTACAGTGGTACCTCAGGTTAAGTACTTAATTCGTTCCGGAGGTCCATACTTAACCTGAAACTGTTCTTAACCTGAAGCACCACTTTAGCTAATGGGGCCTCCTGCTGCCGCTTGAACATGATTTCTGTTCTTATCCTGAAGCAATGTTCTTAACCTGAAGCACTATTTCTGGGTTAGTGGAGTCTGTAACCTGAAGCGTATGTAACCCAAAGTGTATGTAACCCAAGGTACCACTGTAATAGACCAAAGGGCTCTCCGCACCCCCTCCCTTCATTGGGTTTGGGAGTTTCTTCTTTTCCTAAGAAGAATTTCTCCCCTCCAGGCTAGATTTGAGTCCCAAGTAGGCTGTTTCTTTCCAGCTCCTACTTCTCCTGACTCAACCTCAACCTCCCAGTAAAATTCAGGTCTATTCCTCCTATAGGACACCACACTCTGTCCTTCACAATCCACTCAGAGTGGAAGTTGATTTTCCAGAACCAACGCTTTCTCTTATTCACTCTTTATACCTCAACCTGTCCCCCTCAATTCCAACCCTCTTACTCCCTTAACTCTGTAATAAACGAAAATCTGCCCTTATTCCCTTATGGGGGACACAAGAGCCCTTTTAGGGTCCTTTGCAGGTTCTCCATCGGTCGGAGAATGTAACAGGCCAACCAGAGATTTTTGAGAAGCAAAGCAGCTAGTAAGCCTGATCTTTATTGAACTGTTGCAACAGGGTGCTCCCCTCACCCGCAGGAAAGGAGGAAGAACCCAGAACAGTGGCGCACAAGGCCTTATAAAGACTTTTGAAATTGCCACCCTGTAGATCAAGACCACCCCCAGAAACATCATACATACGTCACAGAATGGGTGTAGCTTAAAATCACCCCCCAGACACATCATACCTACATCACAGAAAGGGCAGGCTACAGCAGAAATCTGAGTGGTTTGTTTACCTCATAATCTGAGTGGGTTGTTTACCTCCTGTCTGGCAAGTTACCTGTTAATGCTTACTTGATTGATACCCTGGGGAGCCTGGCCAGTCTTTTGTAATGATAAATACTTAGTTCCTGAGCCAAGTCACAGGCTCACCCTATTCATACACAGGCACACCCTTAAGACAGGATTTGTGAAGGAAAAGACAATGGGGAGGCTTTTCCATTTGACTTTGCAGAGAAAACACCTGGTCAGTTTGGGAGTCAAAATGGCTTCATAGCTGTTCTCCTGTGCCGCTTCAGACATGTGGTTTATATATTTATGTACGTGTTTGCTTGGTACATTTATGAACCTTTATTATATACATAAGACCTTAATTTTTTATTTCAACTCCTAACCCTTTGACCAACTCGCTCCTCAAATCAAAATTTTAAACTCTCCCTCCTGGAACCACGGTCAATCACAGGCTGCCATTCATTAACCATTTGCTGGCAGGGAAAGGAAAGAAAAGAAACACTTGTTGATTCATCCTGTCCAGCAAAGCCAACTTTTTCATCACAGCTGCAACTGGATTTTTATGGACTGTGCCAATCCTGAATGTATTGGATGTGCGACCATTATGCTCATTTGCCTTCAGTAGCAGTAAAGCTCTGCTGGATGAAGTACAATTGCCTCTGGTCTGTTTTTTGGGAACTCTGCAGTACATGTTTAGGTTTCTTCCTGCTCCCCCTTCCATGAGTGACAGTCAGTACCCAACCCAACATTCTTAAGAACATAGACTATTAACCTAAAAATGGATTAGATGGTTTAGTATGGAGTAGATACCCATGATTATAGCGTCATTCCTAACCATGAGCGTAGATTCACTAGCAGCTAGGCAGACAGTATGCCAGATCAGGCTGCCGTCTTCCCTGCCCCACTTGCCTGTGAGGAAGAGCCATTGAATGCAATAGGATGTCATTCTATGCAGAGACAGTGAGCATTGGATTGTTCCTTAATCAGCATGCATGAGTGAAAAGAGTTATTTACTAGTTCTAATGTTTGTTTCCCTTTTTCCATTAATCAATAAAATACATTTATTCTACCACAGATCAATGGATTCAGTGATGGTCTCTGGTGGTGAGATAATCCGCAAGGCGAGAAAACAATTAATTGAAATCCTCCAGAAGGACCTAGAACTTGTTCTAGACGAGTTATTCTCCCAGTCCCTTATCACAGAGGAAGAATATGAGGCCTTAGACAAAACCGAGGAGGATTCCAAGAAGAAAATTCGGAAACTGCTGATAATGATACAGAAAATGGGAGAAATAGCCTGTGGCAAGTTCCTGGAATGTTTAGAAATTGCACGTCCAGGTTCAAATCAGGTTCTGCAAAATTCAGTACATGGTGAGTCTGAACAAAGCATTTTTCATCAGTTTCCTTTTCTGAGATCCTCAGGGAAGAGAGATGCCTTGCTGTGTGTTTTCCCAAATATGATCTATGAGGTGGTCTTAAGTAATTCCTTTTCACAATTCTTCAGTGGTTCAGTGAACAAAGCACAAAGTATTCACTCAACTTAACTGTTACATTCTGTATACTCAGTGCTCATTGGTCTGTGTTTTGTTTTGGAGCAGGGTTACCCCTTTAGTTCTTAAAAAAAGTTTTTTGTTTCTCCCCAGGCAGAATAATTTCTCTCTCTTATAACCCTGTTTGGGCTACCTAGCCTTTGCATTCACTAGTTGAGTTTGCTATTAGACAAGAGAGATCATTCGGCAAGTGGAATCCCATGGATATTAGTCATCAGTAATGTCTTCATTTTACATTTTTGTTTTAACCACATGTCCCAAAGGCAGATGAACTGGCGGGGGGTGGACTTTCTCACCACCCCAGCTGCAGCAGGGAAATTAGGAAACAGCAGTGGTTAGTGTATTTTTTAAAAGAGATGCTAAGAGGAGACTTGGACATTCTGTTTTACCTTATCAGGTCTCATATTGGCATGGACAGCTTATGCATTCAGACGGCCATTGCAGTTCTACATCCTCATCCTCAGTTAATGGCATACCAACAAGTGGCTTGCTGTGGTTTGCTTTAGAATATTTCTCAGCGTGGCTTTTTGGACCAGGAATCATAGAACTGTGCTGTTGGAAGGGAACTAATATAGCTTATATTTTTCTCCCTAGAGCGTTTGCCTCCAGAGGAGAAGAGCCCAAGAGTATTGGGAGAGAGAGAAGAAGCAGTTCCCAAAGGTATCTCCTTTCGTGATCGGGGGTGGTGGTGGTGGAAACATTTGGTTGTTACTGGTTTCTTCAAAATAGGTCCTGCTGATCCCCTGGTCTAATTCTTCTTTCTTGCTTAGCCTTTCCATTAGCAAGCCGGGCAGGATGGGGCAGACTGGGCTCTGCTGAAGGGAGGAAGATTCCTCCTACCTCTGATGAAGTTTGGATAACCGTCTCCAGACCATTCATTTAAAGTGTATGGCTCCCCCCAAAGTATCCTGGGAACTATAGTTTATTAAGGGTGATGGGAGAGGGTAAAATACAAATCCCAGGGTTCTCTGGGGGAAGCCATGGCTGCTAAAGCAGTATAGATAGGCTTTAAATGTATGCTATGGATGTGACTTTCAAATCTCCTTTCCCATCCAGACTTGTAGCAGAGTAGGAAGCTAGTTGATTGGATTCGTGAGAAGCACTTTAGTTAAGCAATCTTCCTGGTAAATCCCCTTTTGTTCCCTCTTAAAAACAACAATAACACAACAGTCTTCTTTGAAAGTACAGTGGACGCTTGGGTTGTGAACGTGATCCATGCGGGATGCACATCCGCAACCCACAGTGTTCGCAACCTGCAGCGGCGCGTCTGCGCATGCACGGGTTGCGATTCGGCGCGTCTGCGCATGCGCGACCACCAAAACCCAGAAGTAACCCATTCCGGTACTTCCAAGTTTTGGCGGGTCCATAAGCGCACAACCTTGAAGCGTCTGTAACCCAAGGTATGACACTAATGATAAGGCTTACTCATTGTACAATAGCAAATGTTCAGAATGTTTACCTGATTTTGCTATTTCAACTTGTTTGTTTCTAGGTTGCTCAGTCGGTGAAGAGGAAGGTGAAATTCAGAAACACCAACAAGAAGAGAAGATGGATCTTGGAATAGGTAATCCCACCTAATCAATGGTGTAATGAAAGTGAGGGTTGCAGTTCAGGGATATTTTTTTCCAGAGCAGGAGCAATGATATGATCTGCTGGAGAAGTACATGGGTAGCTGAGGAGCTCCTGAAGTACAGAATTTACTAGTGTACCTTTGCTCCTCCTCGCTGCTGCTGTGTGGTCTCAGGTGCTGTTATGAATATTGGTCAAGCCTCCAGCAAGGTCTATCCTATTGTTGGTCCCTTAATAGGAACATGGCTTTTAAGTGGTGATTTTTATCCCAGAATGTAGCTTTTGTTGTTAAACCACTTTGAGATGTTTCACAGGAAATATATAAATAGGTTGCCACATTGGGGAAGGCAGGTTTAGATAGTTGTCCTAACGTGAATTTCTGTCTCTAGGTTGTCCAAGTCAAGAGAAAGAAGATGATGTTCAGGAAGAATCAGAGGAAGAGAATCAACATTCCACCACAGGTAATCCCTCCTAATCATCATCGCAGTGGAAAGTGAATGCAGGGTGTGTTGGAGAGTGAGTTTTGGAAGAGAGATCTTACGCTCTCGTAGCAGAATTAAGTAGAATGGTGATTGCTCCAACCACATTAAAACTGCATTATATTTACTTCTACCCTCAACCACCTTTAAACAAACATTCTCCCGCAAAAAATAGGCTAAAATAAATCACATACATTTAGCCATCCAGTGGGTGCCCAGGGAAGCAGAGGTGGCCAAGTCAGGCAGGCAGGGGCGGCCGCTGACTATACACCTCCAGCCTCGTGGGCGGGGAGAGGCCCGGGTTGCCCAGGTGGCACGCTTGCAGGTGGGCGAGGAGGCAGCGAGGGGGAGATGGGGCACACGGGAAGGCAGAGTCCTTAGTTTGGGGATGCCTGTCCTGTATGATGACCTGTCAGAAGAGAGATAGGGAAAATGTGTTCTTGTAAATTCTTCTCAATCTTTCAATACCATCTACCATAGTATCTTTCCAGAGTGGCTGTCCAAGCTAGGAGTGGGTTGCACTGCTTTGTGGTGATGTTAGGGGGTGCTCTTCAGCTCCATGGAACCATCAATGTGGAGTTCCTCGGGGTTCAATTTTATCTCCTTTGCTGTTTAACATCTGCATGAAACCACCGAGTCGGACCATCCTGGAACAGTTCAGGACCATAATACCTCTCCCCATACAAAGCGACCGAGATGCTGCAATCATCCTCTTGTGCCTCCTCCATGAGAGATCTGGAGGGAGGCAACACGAGAACGGGCCTTTTCTGCTATGGCTCCCCGCTTGTGGAATTCTCTTCCTAGGGAGGCTTGCCTGGTGCCTTTGTTACATATCTTTAGGCTCCGGGCAAAAACATTTTTCTTCTCTCAGGCCTTTCACTGATTAAACAATCTATGGCCTTTTAAATGGGGGTGAGAGGGCAACTTTTTGTTTGTTATTATGGTATGTTGTTATGAATTTTAATATATTACTAAATACATTTCTCATTTTCTACAGAGAGAAGAAAAGCAGTTATGGGTATTCTGTGCAAATTAAAGCTAGAAAAGCATAAAAGCAAAGCACTCTCCCTCCAAGAAGTCCTGAAAATCAGATCGGGGAGCTTGAAGGAGTTCACACCTCAAACCCGGGAAGATTTGCCTTGGCATTTTCTGAGGAAGATATTGGCTCTGAATGTGACAGCCAGGAGCACCAGCTTCGAAGAAGTTGTTTCTGATGGTCAAGTATTTAGAAGAAATGAGGGGATTGATAAGGACATTTTCTTTACTCTTGAAATGGGTGAGAGTCATTCTGTCAACCCCCTTGATGTCCTTTGTGCTGTTCTGCTTTGCTCTGACAGTTTCCTCCAACAGGAGATCTTCTTCAAAATGTCCATGTGTCAGTTTGCTCTGCCTTTGCTCCTCCCTCCCTTGGAGACTCCCAAATGCACCCTCATGCTCTGGGCCATGAGGGACATCGTGAAAATATGGAGGCCCCATTCCTTGGCTGAAAGCAGAGGCTTCAGGGAGGAGAGCCTGGTGTTGACATCCATGCCAACCATTTCCTTTGTGAGGATGGGGAGCTTGAGCTTCTCCAAGTCCAAACTGCTCAGTGAGTTCCTCAGCCCTGCCCAACAGCACCATGATTTCTTCTTCCACCGAGATATGGAGTGCGGAGACATCCCACGAGAAATTGCTGGTGGGCTTGTGGAGATTGCCTGGTATTTCCCAGGTGGGCAGAAAAGCTCAGATCTCTTTCCAGAGCCAATTGCAGTTGCAAATCTTCGTGGAGACATTGAATCACACTGGGTGCAGTTTAGCTTTTTAACACAAGTCTCCTCTGCCGTGTTCATATTTGCTGAAGCCATTGATGAAAGACAACATGACCTCTTGTCCTCGCTGAAGGGAACATCAACTCAGTTCTATTTCATCCTGGAACGTGACAGCAACAAATGCCACGAAGCTTTGGGTGTTTTAGATAAATTGGCTCCAATATTTAACCTCTGTAATTCAAACATACTAGTGCAATCTGCAAAGAGAAATAAGGCAGAGTTTGTGAGAAAGTTACGGTCAACTGTGAGAGGAATACTTAATTCTCAACCGACGTGTATGAGTGTACAAGGGATGTGTGCTGTGACATGTGAACTTTCGATTCAGGCAGATGTGGATGGCCAAGAATGTCAGAATGCCCTCCAATGTGCTGAAGGAATCACCGCAGACATAAAAGATGTAGCAAGGTACAAGCAAGAAATGCTGAGACTCCAGGGCGATCTCTGGAAAAACCTGGCCAAAGTGGAGAAAGAACTGTGCAGAATGAAAAGACAGGGGGACAAACCTTCAGAAAAATACAGGTCTGAACTGAAGGGCAAATGGCTGGAATTGCGTAAACAGCAGAGTCAATGTGAACTCACCACTGGCTTGATGAAATTTGTTGATGCCATCAGTCATTTGAAGTCTGCAGAGAAGCACTACTTCCTGAAATGGATGAAGTTCAACCTGGATCATATTGCTAGAGAGAACCTTTCCAAGTTACGGGCTGAGTATAAAGAGAAATGCAAAACTTCAGGAGATGATGTCCAGAAGACTGCAGAAATTGACCGACTGATATCTTCCTCTTCCTTGGGAGTTGAGCACTTCATGCGTGAGCTGGGGCAGTTTTATGAGGCCGAATACTCCATGGTTATTGAGGGCAAAATAGCAAAACACAGAAGGCAGTTTGTTCATTTCCCAAGCATTGCAGCTGACCTAATGCTAGAAGGGTTTCCTCTTGAACTGATGGATGGAGATGCATCCAACATCCCCCTGCAGTGGATAACTGATGTTCTGACCGAGCTTCATAAGAAACTAAGAGGACGATCCAAAATTAAGGTGATAACCGTTCTGGGGGTGCAGAGCACTGGGAAATCGACCCTTCTGAACACCATGTTTGGCCTGCAGTTTGCTGTCAGCAGTGGGCGGTGCACACGAGGTGCCTTCATGACACTTCTTAACATCTCAGAGAATTTGGCTCAGGATCTTGGCTGTGACTTCGTCCTGGTGATAGACACAGAGGGCTTGAAAGCCCCTGAACTGGCCAAACTGGAAGACAGCTATCAGCATGACAACGAGTTGGCCACTCTAGTCATTGGGCTGAGCGACATCACCATCGTAAACTTGGCCATGGAAAATGCTACCGAAATGAAAGACATCCTGCAAATTGTGACCCATGCCTTCCTCAGAATGGAAGAGATTGGGCAAAGTCCCAGCTGCCAGTTTGTTCATCAAAACGTCAGTGATGTTTCTGCATATGACCAAAACATGAGGGACAGGAAGCACCTTTTGGAACAGCTGAATGAAATGACCCAGGCTGCAGCAAAAATGGAAAATATTGGGAGGGATATCAAGTTCTCAGACATCATGGAATATAACCCAGAAACAAATAATTGGTACATCCCTGGTCTTTGGCATGGAGTCCCACCAATGGCCCCAGTCAACAGGGGGTATAGCGAAAAGGTCTTTGATTTAAAGAAGTGCCTTTTCAAATTCATAAGAGACCATGCACGTGACAGGCCTTCCAAGAATATTCTTGACTTCATTGAATGGGTGAAGAGCCTGTGGAATGCTGTAAAACATGAGAACTTCATCTTTAGCTTCCAAAATAGTCTCATAGCTGAAGCATACAACAACCTCTCCATTAAATATTCTGAATGGGACAGGGATTTCCGCAGAGAGATGCACCTCTGGGTATCTGAGCAGGAAACTCTGATTCAGAATGTGTCACCTGATAAAATTGCTTTCAATAATTTGAAATGTGAACTTCAAAAGAAACTATCATGTGGAGAAGAGCAGATTTTGGAGAGTTTGAATAAATACTTCGGGAGCGAAGCAGCAAATCTGCATCTGGTAGAAAAGTACAAGGAAGATTTTGTCAGGAGTGCCAACAGCCTCAAGCGTGAACTTGAAAATTATTCTTCTAACAAACTGCGAGATGCCATTCAGATTAGAAAAGGTCTATACAAAATTGATGCTCTTCAAGCAGAATACAAGAAAGCAATTGAAGGAAAGGTTGACAGGCTGCTTGAAAAATGCAGAGGCAAAAAGCAGAAATTAAAAGAAAAAGAATTAGAAAGAGAGTTTAAAAAAATGTGGAGAGAAACACTGTTGGAAATACCACCCATTTCCTTAGAGAAACGTGACATATATGCAGAAGTTGAGTCATATCTGAGAAAGAATTCATACTCTCATTTGAAACTCTACACACAAAAATTAGCAGGAAAAAGAGGATTGTTAAGTTACAGAATACACACTTTTGAAATTAAAAATGACCATGTACAATCATCACTTTGGAAACGTTTATTTCATTTTAATTCTCAAATAGAGTATATGCATATAATAAAAGATTTTGCTAACTCTTTGTTGTGCAAATGCACATCATATATTGATGAAAAGCTCAATTCTAAAGGAGATTATGATGAAACCTACTGCATTGACCTTTTGTGTATGATCAATGAGACGCTTCAACAACCTGATGTTCAAAATCTTCATACAACCCCTGGCTTTGAAGTGGACCTTAAGCTCCACATCCTGGGAGAAGCAGCTCATGCATTTCAAAGGAGACATGAAGAATTTGTTAAGGAAAATGATCCTCACATGCGCCTGGAAAAACTGAAACCCCACTATTTTGCAATTTTCAGAGATCTTTATCAGGAAAAAGATGCCCATCACATCCAAGCTAAAGATTTCTGTGAAATGTGTCTCCATCCTGCTATAGTGAATTATGTCAACAATAGACTTGGGGTGGAAATAGTGGACAACTTTCACAACAGTGAGCAGTCTATTGACTTTGGCTCTCGGAGTTTTTTCCAGTTTTCTATCCTGAAGGATCTGTTAAATGAATGGGATTTTGACCAATATGTTGAATACATCACAACCTATGAAAAGTTTGTCAAGAGTTGGATACTGAAAAAAATGGTGGATTACTATACAGAAAATGAGGATCTGAAGAATCTGGAGGAAAACATTTTCTCTGCAATACTAGACAGAATTAGAAAAACATTGAACAAGCTGAGGCATCAAGGTGCTGAGACAATCTCAGAATTTGTGGAGGATTTTTCCCAAGAAATGCAGAAGGAGTTAGTCATTCCTAAGGATAGCTTAGTGGGGACACACATGAAACAGGCATTTGATCCTGGCCACTTTTTTGCTTTTGTTGAAAGCTTCCTTCCTAATTTGCAAGAACAAATATTAAGCAGATTTAGAGACTTGGATATTGAATCCAAACTCTCTGAACTGCCTGTGAAGCCCCAAGACGAAATCTTCAAGCAAATGTTTGGCTGTGGGAAGCAGTGTCCCTTCTGCTACACCCCCTGTGAAGCTGGAGGGAGCGCTCATCAGGAGCATTTTGCAACAATCCATCGACCTCAAGGATTTGGAAGATTCAGATATATAGATTCAGAAAAGCTGATATGTTCTCTGTGCTCCACCAGTGTGTCCACCAATCAAGTGTTCCGAAATCAGGACACAAATTATGAATGGCATCCATACAAAGAGTACCGTACGTATTATCCAGACTGGCGTATCCAACCTGATCCCAGTATCAAAGCTTCTGATTACTGGAAGTACATTTTCAAAATGTTCAATGATGACTTTGCCAGACAGTACAATGCTAAACCAGCTGATCTGCCAGAGGACTGGGGAAATATAACCAAAGAACAAGCACTGAAGGCCTTAGAAGATAGATACAAGTTGTAACCAACACCTCCATCAGAATGCTTGCCTTAAAGACCTGGAAACAAAAGTGATTTCAAACAAGTTTTTACATTCACAGATTGCATCCAATTTTATTAAATGTATGCCATTTTTGTATGAAAATCTCAGACGTTATGCACAGCTGCCAAACATAATGTGACTCTGCGCATAATATGACAAGGTTGCATGTTGAAATTAGCAAAACAATGATGTGTTTTCATTTTTCAGATTATGGTAAAAGTATAAACGCCTTGCGCTAAAGTAGTCCTAGTCAGTAGCCATACACATTCCTAGTTGTCTATAACCACTTAATTATATGATATATACCTTTGGGGCAGTGAGGGACTTTTTTACTCCATGGCATTCAGGTGTGTGATTGTATCCATGATTATTTGCTGCCCCCATATTTTGTAATTCACAGCCTAAAGCAGCACATATATTCTTTGTCTTTCTTTTCCAAGTGTAATAAACCAATCTTTCACTCTTTCCTGGTGTGACAAATTCTTTATTGGGTATAAGGGTTGAAGGTATTAATGCATTTTAATGAGTGCACACCCTGACTCTGTGCCAAAAGTTACATTCCTATTTTAGGTCCATGCTGGACAAACATGTGGGTTCAGACATGCACATTGTAACACACATCTGTGGGCAACTTTTAGGGCAACATTTTTTGCTGAAATTTGAATTCTATGGAATTCAAATGGGTAATACAATGAAGTACAATATAATAAAAGAAGCAATAAAACTAAAATATTAGCTATTTATATACTGATGTTTCCTCTGTGAAGTTGAAGGTGACATACATGGGTGTCCCCTTCCCATTTTATTTTCACAACAACCCTGTGAGGTAGGTTAGGTGGGGGGACAGTGACTGGCCCAGGGGCACCCAGTGAGCCTCGTGACTGAGTAGGGAGTCGAGTCCTGGTCCCCTATACGTCATTGCAATGCTCTAACCTTTACACCACAATGGTTCTCGGCACATATGGCATCTAGGGAAAAGGTAAAGGACCCCTGGACGGTTAACTCCAGTCAAAGGCAACCATGAGGTGTGGCGCTCATCTCGCTTTCAGGTGGAGGGAACTGGCGTTTGTCCGCAAACAGCTTCCCGGGTCATGTGGCCAGCATGACAAAACCACTTCTGGTGCAACGGGACACCGTGACAGAAACCAGAGCGCACAGAAACGCCGTTTACAGCATCTAGCACATCACAACTGCTGCAACAGGCATCAAGTGATTCACCAAGAATATCAGAAATTTTTAAATGGTCTGTGACGGGGGGAAGTTTGAGAACCAGGGATTTAAAGCATACAACTTCCGACCTGCTCTTAGGAACAGGTGATTTCCCCACACAATTCTGAGCACTGCCACACCCTCAAAGCAGCTGGAGAGCATGATTTTGCACAACGTGCAAGCTTCTCAATCTGCAGAGAACTGATAAATTTGCAAAAGATCACAAAGGGTTTGTCTCAAGCTCTTAACCCATCTAGTTCTCTGACTTAACGATAAAATCTGTGCTTGTTGTAGCCACAGCATCGGCATCCCTCATGGTACAAGGTTGCCTTTCTGTCTGATCGCCCTCCACTGGTTCAGGTAACATTGCAAGCGCCGTTGCTTAACCCCCGACACAAACACTGGGAGATACAGTCTCCCAAGTACATACTGTAGGTTCCAGACCAGCCTTTGTCAACTTGGTGCCTTCCAGATGTGTTGGACCACAACTCCCATCAGCCATAACCAAAATCAAACTAAGTAAGTAACTCCCTCAGGATTCTTCGGAGGAAGTTGGGTGTTTTAAGTGTCAATGTAAGAAGTGTTTCCTGTTTTACCATTAAAAAAATTCCCCTGCCAGTGGCCATAGAAACCAACTGGCAATGACAGTCCTGCAGCTCAGCCCAGCGTCCAGCAACTGGGTGGACAATGAGAAGAAAGCAGACCCTGCAAGTGTCCCTGGTTTCCAGGGACAGCCCTAAATTTACTGAAGCCCATCCCAGTTTCTGATTTGATCTGGGAATGTCCCGCTTTTCCTTAAAGGTAAAGGGACCCCTGACCATTAGGTCCAGTCATGGCTGACTCTGGGGTTGCGGCGCTCATCTCGCTTTATTGGCCAAGGGAGCCGGCGTACAGCTCCCAGGCCATGTGGCCAGCATGACTAAGCCGCTTCTGGCAAACCAGAGCAGCGCACGGAAACGCCGTTTAGCTTCCCGCCTTCTACTTGCTCTTTGATGTGCTTTTGAACTGCTAGGTGGGCAGGAGCAGGGACCGAGCAACGGGCGCTCACCACGTTGCGGGTATTTGAACCACCGACCTTCCGATCGGCAAGCCCTAGGCTCTGTGGTTTAACCCACAGCACCACCTGCGTCCCTTTGCTTTTCCTCAGGATGTCTCTATTTCCATTGGAGAAATGTCGGAGGGTATGGGAAAGTACGACAACCCTGTGATGTAGTCCGTGGGTTATATGATGGGGTTAGGTGCTGGGGGCTAAGCCTGGGACTGGCATTTTCGCAGAGAGATGCACCTCTGGGTGTCTGAACAGGAAACGTCAATACAGAATGTTTTCTCCCGATGAATTTGATATACGCAGTTTGCAAAATGAGCTTTATCAGAAGCTGTTGGCTGGAGAACAGCAGATTTTGGAGAATTTGAAGCAATACTTTGAAAGCAGAGCAGCAAATCTGCATTTGGTAGAAAGGTACAGAGAAGATTTTGTCCGCAGTGCTCACAGCCTCAAGCAGGAACTGGAAAGTTATTCTTACAACAAATGTCAGGAAGCTGTTCGCATTAAAAAAGGGCTTCACAAGATTCACTCTCTACAAACTGAATACTTGAAAATAATTGAAGGGCTACATAAAAAATGCCAGGAAAATGAAGATAGGATTGAAGATCAAGAACTGGAAAAAGAGTTTGAAAGAATGTGGACGGAAACATTATCAGAAATATCACCTGTTCCCTTAGAGAAACGACAAATATATGAAGAGCTTGACATATTTGAGAAGGGAATTGGCACATCGAGGAAGTTCAGTCAATGTAAAATTACAGGGAGCAAAATCTTTGTTAAGCTACAGAATGAATACTTTTCAAATGAAATCTGAATATATGGATTCAACATGGTGGCGCCGTGTGAAACACTACTTTGCTAACAAGGAGTGTTTGCATGAGATGGAAGAACTTGCTAAATCCTTGATGGCTAAATGCAGTTCCTACATTTGTAAAAAGGTTGATTCCAAAGGAGACTATGATGATACATATTGTGGTGAACTTTTACAGATTATCAATGAATGCTTCAACAATGTGATGCTCAGAAATATCATATAGCAACACGGTTTGAAGTAGATCTAAAGCTTCACATTCTGGGGGAAGCAGCTCATGAATTTCAAAAGATGCATGAAGAGTTTATTAAAGAAAAATTGAAGGAACAATAAATTAAGTTTCTAAACATGACAGAAAAACATTTAAAAATCAACAAAGTGTACAGTACATTTTCTAAGACTCTGGGGAAAACTCAAGAAGGTTCCTCTTCCACTCTTTGCTTCTTGCTGAAGAACCTGTCCATGGCCTGCTGCTTCATCTGCCTTTTCAGCACCTCCCTGAAAGGCGACATGACCCTCGTATCAAAAGTGTTCACAAGGTCATGTGCCACATGTTTGTCAGGGTGGTGCCGCTGTGCAAAAGCTTGCACATCCTTCCACTTCAGGCAAATGTCCCTCAGTTCTTTGGAGGACAGCCGTTCCTCAGTTGCTTCCTCCTCTTCCAGCGAGGCCTGCTCCTACGCAGCCTCTGCCTGCAGTTCGACCAGCTCCTGGGTGGTCAGCTCGTGGTCATGCTCCTCCACCAGCTCGCTGATGTCCTCCTTTGTGACCTCCAGGCCCATGGTCCTCCCCAAGGCAACAATGTCCTGCACCACTGTTGACTCTGGTGCATCAGAGTCACTTGGTGCCACACAGTCCGGCCACAGGCTGCGCCAAGCGCAATTCAAATTTCTCTGGCTGATCCCGTTCCAGGCCGCGGTGATCATCTTCAAGCAGGTGACGATGTCGAAGTGGTCCTTCCAGAATTCCCGCAAGGTGATGGTGGTGCAATCAGTCACCTCGAAGCATCGCCTGAAAAGCTCCTTGGTGTAGAGTTTTTTGAAATTGGCGATGACCTGCTGATCCATCGGCTGGAGCAGTGGCATGGTGTTAGGCAGCAGGAACATGATGCTGATGAAGCTGAACTCCTCCAACAAGTCCTCCTCAAGGCCTTTAGGATGAGCATGAGCATTGTCCATCAGAAGCAAAGCCTTCAGCGGCAGGTCGTTGTCCAGCAGGTACTGTTTGACAGCAGGGCCAAAAGCAAGATTGACCCAGTCCACAAACAGCACACGTGTGACCCAAGCCTTACTGTTGGATCGCCACATGACACTCAGCTGCTCCTTGTCGCCCTTGTGTTTCTTGAAGGCCCGTGGGTTCTCCGAGTGGTACACCAGCAGGGGCCTGATCTTCAGATCGCCGCTTGCGTTGGCACAGAAGAGCAGGGTCAGACGGTCCTTCATGGGCTTGTGGCCAGGCAACTTGGCCTCCTCCTGTGTGATGAAAGTCCTTTTCGGCATCCTCTTCCAAAACAGCCCGGTCTCGTCGCAGTTGAAGACCTGCTGTGGAACGTAGCCCTCCGTCTTCACAGCCTCCAGGAACTCCGCTGCAAAGTCTTCAGCCGCAGGAACATCAGAACCGGCAGCCTCTCCATGCCTGACCACGCTGTGGATTCCAGATCTTGCCTTGAACCGGTCAAACCAACCTCTGCTTGCCTTGAAGACTTCTGGCTCACCTGAGGTTCCTGGCTGTTCCCGGACGAGGTCTGCATGCAAGGCCTTGGCCTTCTCACAAATGACGGCCTCAGTCACTGTGTCCCCTGCACGCTGCTTCTCTTCTAACCAGATGAGCAGCAACTTCTCGACCTCCTCCAGAACAGCTGGACGGTTCTTCACGATCCTGGTGACTCCCTTGGCTGCATCAGTCACAAGGATCTTGTCCCTCATCTTCAGGATGGTCCCGATGGTCGATGGATTCCTCCCGTACTCCCTGGTGAGGTCTGTCACACGCATTCCACCGTCGTGCTTCCGGATGATCTCCTTCTTCATTTCCAGCGTCACCTTCTCCTTCTTCCTCTCACCGGCCTCTGCAGCAGCAGTCTTCTTGGGTCCCATGGCAGCACAGCCCCTACCTTCGCAAACTCAAAAATAATAATAATAATAAAAAAAGAATCAGTGCTTCACATCCAAAAAATTCAAAAGCACCCAGCCACCCACCACAAAGAAATTCAAACCCAGAACCAAGTCCTTGAATTCCAAACACCCAACCCAAAATCCAAAAACCCCCAAAAAAGTTTTAAAAGTTTAACTTACCAAATGGCTGCAAAAGAAGTTTTGGAAAAGCTTCAAAAATCGCCAAAGTCTTCTAAAACCTCAAATGGCTGCAAAAGAAGTTTTGGAAAAGCTTCAAAAATCACCAAAGT